CGCCATTTGTAGCTTAGCGGTTAGAGCTTTGCCTTCCGGTAAAGGCCTTCTCTGATACGCGGGTTGAAATCCCGCCAAACGCCTCGAGTTTTTTTCACAATTGGGTCAACTCAAATTTTAGTTTCCCATAGCTATTAGACGCCATGTTTTTATCTTGTTTATGAAGGAAGTATTTATTTGCTACAACTGGTTTTCAAAGGATCTGTCTAGCTTCTTTATTTTTACTGAATTTATTGAATTATAAATGTCAGTAAACTGAAAGTCATAATTTTGTGTGTGCCTGTGACCGCATGCAGCCATACCGTTTGCAGTTTTCGGGGTGTCTTCCTCCTCGCTCTCCGTTTCGTCCTTCTGGTTTTCCTGGGCCGTTGGACTCGTAGGCCGACTTGGAGCGGTCTCCATCATCTTGTCCAGCATGTCGCCAAGAACGACAAAAATTGGCTCCACGATAAAGTCAATGAAGCCTAAAAGGAAATGAGATAGTTTGTGTAAAACAAAAGTCGCAGGTGTCGGGTCCTTACGAGGATTCACAAGAAACGCCGTGTTATAAAGTGTGCATTTCAAAATATTCATACTTTTAATCAGTCGGTTTGGAGATTCAAGACAACGTACACATAGTTGATCCAAACAGAAGGTACCAGACCATCACTTGTTTTTTTGCATACAGATATTATGTGTTTATATACCACGTCAGCCAAAGCTAACATATACGTCCCTTTGTAACATTATACCCAAAAATTGCACCTTACAAGTCATACTGCCCTCTTTTTTCCAGAAATATTTTTATAAAGTTTCAGTCAAATGGCCTGCATCTGTATTTAGTTTTTTAATTGTTTTTCTTAGTGAAATCTATCGAAAGTTCGAAGGCGTTCACCTACCTTTCCCTTAACAAAACTGAATTGAATTTATTATACGCTGGACCCTTTTTAAAATCTACCGGTGGCCAATACCCCAGTAGTCATAGTATGTATTTCGTCAAAATTGGCAGTCGCGAAGTACTAAATGTTGGGTTTGTTGCACAAGGGAAGTCAGTTAACCGTACGCGTCCGATCCTATACTTTGATGGCGGCAAGTTGACGTTTTCTGTGGGTTTCTTCTGATTGGAAACTGCGTGTGGTTTCAATTCATCGGATAAAAAGTGGACCTCATGATGTCGTTTAGAGACCGAATTCAGAGGATTTACTTCGAAGGTAAGCTTGGTTGGAGAAAAGGAACAAAATTCTGCCATCTTTGGGGAAATAATGCAAAATGACTCCCTTAAATTTTGCTTAGGCGATTGCACACTGAAT